TTTATTTTTTATAGCATTTAAGTAGTATAATATACCTTTATTTTTATTACTATGTATAATGTTAATCTTTAATATAAATCCCTACCCATTGAAATTTTCATACATAAATATATATATTTAATTCATTATAAACAAAAACTTCTTATTCTTAGCCTAATTTTTTTTTTCAAAAAAAAATCAAATTATGTACTTAATTTACAAATTGAGATTTACTTATCAATAAATTAAACTCTTTGTATTATAATAAAGTAGCTTTAGTTATGAAATAAATACAATTTCATCGTAATGTCCAGAAGAACACCGTTTTGGAGTAGTTGAATTAATTCAATTATTTTTAAATCAGAATGAAAGAAGAGCGTTACATGCATGCATTAATTTTTAAATAATAATATGGTTGTATAAATATATCTCCAAAGGGTCAACTATTGCGGGGATAAAAACTGAAATTATTAATAATATCATAATTTATTATTTTTAGGCATGGAAACCTCTTTTCATTATTATTATTATTATTATTATTATTTTTTTGTGGTGATTTGCTTTTAATTTTAATTTCTTAAGTATTCAAAGGATATATATAATTAAGAGAGGCTACAGTGCTCTCCAGCCAAAAATATAAAGCTTTTCTTTTTGGTGATCTTAATTATGATTTTATTTTTCAGGGAGATCATTATTTTTTTTTATGAGATTAATTAGAGATTTGATAATTAAAATCATTAATTTTGTAAATGAAACCAATATATATATATATATATATATATATTTTTATAATACTGGGTGGTAGTGGGATCGAGCCCACTTCAACACAAGCGGAGTATTTATTGTTATTATTATTATTATTATTATAAAGAGAAAGGTAGATAATGGAATGCTATTTATCTCCACCTCCAGTTGCATGTGAACAAAGGAAAGGATAGTTTTGGTTTGGGCCATTGCTGCAGCTTCCTTCCATAGATAATTATGAAGAATATAATATAATAATCTCCTGCAGAGTTATTTTCTTTTCATTTATTTAACAAACTTCCCTACGTGCATAATTAGTCTACTGATTTTTCTAAAAATATAAGCTAATATGTAAATACCATGTTAATTCAAGACTAAAGATGGACCAATTTTACTTTTAAGAAAAGAAAAAAAACCTAAAGGTTTTGGATTAATCTTTCACGATTAATTGTCTGACAAATGCCCCAAATATATAATTCGACAAATAATTAATCCCCCTTAAATTTCCTTCTATATATATATATATGAATGCATGCTAAACCCCAGAAGCAAAGAAGACTAAGACCATCTCTCTCTCTCTCTCTCTCTCTCTCTCTCTCTCTATCTATATATATATATATCTATAGCTATCGTTTTTCTCTTCTGGTCCAAAGAAGATGGTGCCAGTGAAGGGCAGCATCTCGGCGGCCATGAACGCGAGAATCATCGGGTGCTCCGACAGCGAAGAACATATGGTTCTGGCTCATGGGTTTGGAGCAGACCAGTCTGTGTGGGACAAAATCGTGCCCATCCTGGCTCAACATTGCAAGGTTTTGGTCTTTGATTGGGCCTTTTCAGGAGCTGTGACTGTGAAGGACACGACTCTCTTCGATCCCGTCAAGTACTCTTCCTACGACGCCTTTGCCGATGATCTAATCCTTCTTCTTGATGAACTCAGCTTCAAATCTTCAGTCTTCGTCGGCCACTCCATGTCCGCCATGATCGGATGCATTGCTTCCATCAAAAGACCTGACCTCTTTAACAGACTCATACTCGTTGGAGCTTCTCCTAGGTATACAGACACACACACACACGCATGCACATATGTATTATGCATTTCTTATTTTTCAGAACTACATATTCTATGCAATTCTTTTCTTCTTTTTGCTTTTATAAGAAAAGATGGGTTTCAAAAACTGATCTCGTCGCCATCGGTGATTTTTAGTCCATTAATGTTTTTATCTTCCCGATTGAATTTCCTTTTAATGTTTGTTTTCATGTTTTTGTTTGTGTTTTTCTTTTGCATCATATTCATGACACTATTATACATTTTCATGAAAGGATCAGTATTATAATTAATATAAGACTGCTTAACAGCTTTCTTTTATTATGAGAGGGCATAGATGTGATGTTAGCTACTCGATCTACCCACTCATATAAGAAATAACACACACACACACACACACACACGTATAATTCTGTAAAATTAGGGGACAATCAAAATATAACTGGGTAAGTTAATTTTATTGTTAAATAGAAATAGCAGATTATAATCCAAATGAATCATCAAAATATTATAGTAATTTAACAAAAAAAATCAGATTAATAGTCAATTTTGTCGTTAATATCATGCAAAATTAATATTCCAAAAACTTAAAATAGTAGAAAATTATACATTTTATTATTTATACACTAACAAAAATAATTAATTTTTACATAAATTCAGTATTGCTGTGTTAAATAAATATATATTTAGTTGCATTTTTTTTTTTGGATAAATTTATGAACGAGTTAAGTTTAGAATTTCATAAAACCGAATTTATTGGTCAAATTTTTTTTCTAAAATTAATGCGTAGGGTAGTGATTTGATATGCTAATAAATTTATTTTTTAGCAGAGAAATTGAAATCTATGTGTGTGTATATATATAAATAGACATATGTGATGGACATGAGAAGTTGGGCGTGACGGTTTGTTGTTTGTGTTGTATTTTTGTGTTTGTGGTTACCAGATGGTTAAATAGGACCCATACCATCTTCAATAATGTCATGGCTGCTGTTTGCATTTGCATAAGGCCATTCTTTCATTACCAATTTTATACGACATACAGTTTATCAAATTCTATCTCTTAACTCCTAGCCACTTAAAAAAGCCTCTCTATCATTTCACTTTGCTAGTCAAATCATTATACACTTACACTTACACTTACATATATATGCTTCTTTCTTCAAATGGTTGAAATTTTAAAATATATATTTTTGAAATTCGTTTATGTTATCCAAAAAATTATCATTAATTTTCTTCTTACTTCAAGATCAAGGACAGGATACCACAACATAATTTATTTTTAAGTTATATATAAACTAGTGTGATAACTATTATAGGCATGCCATCCATATATTTAACATTTTTCTTAGCCTAACTAGTTTTATTCATCGTCCAAATAATTTTTTAATTTTACTTATTTTTAAGTTAAATCAACTCGTATATAATAGATACATGACATATATATTTGCAGGTATATCAACGCAGAGGGTTACGAAGGGGGATTTGAGAGCAGAATAGTGGATAACATGATCTCCAACGTAGAAACCAACTACGAGGAGTGGGCTACAGCCTTTGCCTCTCTGGTCGTCGATCCCCAAGACCCTCTTTCCGCCGATAAATTCCGAAACTGCCTCAGACGAATGCGAAACGACGTCGCTCTCTCCTTGGCCAACACCGTCTTCCACAGCGACCACAGACACATCCTCCCCGAGGTCTTCGTCCCATGCACCATCATCCAGACCACCAACGACGTCATCGTTCCCATCTCAGTTGCCTACTACATGGACGAGAATATCAGGGGGAAATCGACGGTGGAGATGGTGGATACGTGTGGGCATTTCCCACAGTTAACTGCTCACCTCCAGCTTCTCGACGTGATTGGTGGCGTATTAGGACGTGCGTTTTGATTTTGATTTTATGTTTACTTTTGTATGATGATTTGGAAGAGTAGTAAGATCATGATGATGGGTTTTTTTTTTTTTTGTGAAAAAAAAAAAAAAAAAAAAAAAAAATGTTTGTTCGGATTGGTAAGATAAGATAAAGAAGTTAACAAATAAATGCAGCATATATATATATATATATATGGGGTCTTGTTGGGTATGTATTTATATATATATTTTTTAGGGTTCATCATGGTTTATATAATGCGATGAACAATATTTGATGATGGCGTGCATCGAATACTTTATGTGTCTATAGACCATAGTGGTCTTTTTTGCCTTACCATATTAGTATTTGATATTTTAAAGTTTTGTTTTTCAATAAATTATCTTAATTATATGTTTTTATATAATATTAATTAGTTTGACAGAGATTAAATAATGCACATCCATCATGGGACCATTTAGATTTTTTCCTTCTAATTATTTTTTTGAGATGTTTCCTTTTTATGAGGTTATTATGGGCGTAAAGTTATATATATAATTAAGATAAAAATTTTATTTCATATTAATTAATTAATGTGAAATATTAATTATTACCAATCAATTGAGTCATTTTCTATTAATTAATATTATCAATTAATTAATTCTGAATTTCCGAAAATAATTTGATAATTGAAATACGTGTGATGAAAATTCCACGTTTTATGAAAATAAACACTAATGATAACTAGGAAATTAAATTTATAATTTATATTTCACCAAAAAGAAAAAGAAATTGAAATGATTTAAGCTTGTACTACGATAATCCCAAATTCCACAAATGGGCCACGGGAACAAAGCTAAGTTCAGGCCCAGCGTACACATTCTTTTGAGTTATTCTTTTACTAAATTATTTTTAATCTATGGGTATTTAATATTAATATGGTATATCATTTGACTGCATTTGTTAATTTTGAATTAAATTTTCAAACATTTAAATAAAATATTGAATTAAATTACTTTTAAATTAATTATTTTAACTTGTAAAATTACTTCCGATGCATAATATTAAATTTAACTCAGTTAATAACTAGAATATAAATAAAATTAAAATCAACAATGAAAAGTAAAAAAAATGTTATTTTAATTATATAGTTAATTAAACTTGCTAATTTTTAGTAAATGAAAAAATAAAAAAAAACACTTGCATGAGTTCCAATTGGAATATAATTGAGTAGAAGGATAAAAACGACATTGAACTCAATTTCATTTATGTTATCATATTTTGTGTTTTTATTAGATTCAATAAAGAATCTATGAGTAGATGAATGATCAAATGAAGAAGAAAATTGATAAGAAAATCTGAGCAAAATGAATGCTGCTCAAGAAATTTTGTGAGAGAGAAACAGAGTGTCGAAAAATTAAAATTGGAAAAATTATTTTATGTATTCTTTACAATTAAACAGTATATATACAAGAGAGCAATTTACAAAAATATTCTTATAGTTTCAAGTATTTACATTAATATCAGTCTATCTAATATTCTAATAACCCCCTTCTCCCCCCCCCCTCCTCACACCCCCTCAAGTTAGTATACAGATTTTAGATATCTAACTTGACATGGTAGTTTGAAACTGAGAAGTGAAATGTCTTGGTAAAGTAATCA